CGTGGCGCCGTTGGCAGCCGCTTTGAGTCCCGGGGAAGAACCTGTTCCAGTACCCGACTTTGCGACAAGTCTCGGTCGAGAAGACAGGATCGAGGTTCCTGATGGGGAGGAGCCGAGGATCGAGGCTGAGTTCGTCTTTTCACCGGCTTTGGTTGTCGAGGAAATCGTAGGGCCCTTGGATGCTAGGAAAGTTTTGTTGACCGAGACAGCCTTGAAGGTAGCGGGTTTCTTGACGGTCGACGACGTTCTGCCGTGTCCCTTGTCTCCATCTCGAGCAGCCCGCGATGCCTCCGTATCCGACCCTCCACTAACACTAACATCTGCTGAATTGAGTTGATCTTCAACGCCGGTGATGTGCTTATTTTCTAAGTCATCGACGGCGGGACTACCATTCAGTTTCGCGCGATTTGGACCGACATTTTGGGAGTCGATATCAGCGTCGTCAGTCTGTTCGGCGGGGGTTCCGAAAGGATCCTAGGTCAGCCAAAGGACAAGCGACAGGGTGACAGGGTGAGGTTTGCATGGGGGCATGACGAATGAAGAGGAGTGAAGAGGGGACGCGGGGATCATCCGGCGACGGGGCAGGGCACCAGCGGTGTGAGGCTGGGGGGGAGGAGGAGGAGGAGGGGAAAAGAGGGAACTCACGAGCTTGGGGTCAGAATGGACAGAAGCATCAACGGGGGCGGCGAGGGTGGCTTCAGTTGCCATCATACGTCGTCGGATGTTCTGCGCTGGAAGAGCGATGTTTGGCTGTTCCGAGCTCGAGTCACCAAAAGGACTTGTTCTGGGGTCGGGTGTAAGGTAAGGTGGTCGAGGGTCGAGATGGTGGTGGAGGTTGGTGGTTGGTTGGAATTGATGATGGAGTAGGTACTCTGTCTGTATGGGCCGGGGAGCGACGAGTCGCAGAAGTCGAGCGGTTTCGTGTACCTTTATTCGAATCGCGGGGCGGATGCGATATTGGGAATCGCAGATTCGGATAGTTCCCCTACCAGCAAGACGTACGTCGTCGGCTTCGTCGTCGTCAAGGTATGGCGTCCGAGGGGGGGTTTTGGAGGGAAAAGAGGAAAAAAAAGGAGCGCTGGGCTCGATTTTCCTAGAGGAGCTGCAGTCGCCTAATCAGGGATTAGCGTGCGGCAGGGGAGCAGCCAAAGTGCTCACTGTCCACTGCTGGCGGTGCTGCTGGGTGCTGTTCAGCGCTGCTGTGCAGTACGAGGAGGACGGGAGGAGGCAGGTAAGGAAAAACAGTGGGCCCCTGATGGGTACCTGCCCGCCGACGTGGTCACTGGATTCTGTTAGACTAATACAGGATACGTACACAGTAGAATGAGGTGGGAAGGCTGTGACAGTGTGTCAGCCTTGTGTACTGTACATCTAAAACACTGTGTCATGGCTCAGCTCGGCCTAGTGCGGAAAGCGCTGGCTTTGTGGGCTGGGGAAAGCACGGGAGGAAACAACGCGGGATCCCCCGACCTCCAGCAGGCTATTCTTGGATCCAGTGCATTGATGAGCGCCTTCCGTCTGAGCATTATGGACAATGAGGCAACCTCCGCACTCTCCGGCTGCAGCTATTTTAATGATTGTGAAGGTAGAAAACCAGTGAAATTCTTGATGTTTCCAGGCCGACTATGAGATGCTAGACAGCTGTACATAGTAGACACCACCTAGCAAGCCAAACTCAATGGTGGCCCCTTATACTCCGTACATCACTGCTAATGGCATCTTCTTCACTGAGTACCTGACATCACATCGGGTTTCCTGCAAGTTTGAGCTGAATGAGCATTACGCAATACCACTCAGTTAATCTTTGACTAGCTGAAACAAACTCTCGGCTCGACTTGTCAGCGGCCCTACAAAGGACCGAGAACGAGAACACCCCTGGCAATCCCTTTTGTTTTCTTTCAGATTGCGCTTTTCTTTCTGTCCATTGACACTTGGGGAATACACGCTGGACACGAAAAGGAAATTTGCCGAGGAGCCTCCTCCTGGAGAATAGGTTCTAATTCTTATATACACGGTCCCAATGCCATTACACAGCCAGAGGCTGGACTACAACCAAATGGGAGTCGCTTAGTGAGCATTGTTCTTGTGGTGGCCTAATAATCGTTAGCATCACATCATCAAAACACGAGCCCCGTCTCTTCTTCTTCGTCTTCATTTCGTCTGAATTGATGCGATTAGGGGGTTGACGTACGGAGGTGGAAGTAGTAGTTCTGAGCGTAGCCGATGACGAGGAGGAAGCCAAGGGCGTGAATGATGGCTACACAACAGCGGTCAGTCTTCATAACTGTACTCGATGCACAGCTGCGATCCAGAGAGCAACATACGCTTCGCAGAGGCGTTCTTGCCGCTGAAGTGCTTGGCGGCGTAACGGCCGAGGATGCCAGTGGGCTTAGCCTCGGGGGCGGCACCACGGGGGAGCTTCTCGTAGAAGTTGACAACGCGCTGCATGCGAACGGCGTTGGGGTCCGCACCAAGGGCCTGAATAAGAGAGAGTCGTCAAGTTAGCCCTTTCTGCCCATATGGATCGTATGGTTGTTGCTGCTGTTTGTTGTGGAAAATATGCATAGCTCCGAGTAGCTCCGTCCATTCGCCCCTCCGTATCCCGTGCCCGAACCTCCGAATTCGCCGGGTATCCTTTTCCCATCCAACCTCGCATCCATCATAAAAGCAGAAAAAAAGTGTAATCGGGGTTTATAATCGTACCTTGGGAGAGGCGACCTAGTTGCATCGCGTCAGTAAAGTTGTTCCAGCAATAGCCGCCGGTCGTCGGTCGGACAGAGGGAGAAGAGCGCGCACCTTGGGGGGAATGAGGGTCGAGAGACCGCGGCGGGGGACGAAGCTCATGATGACTGGGGGTATCGAAGAATCGGAAGGGTCGCTCGGCGCAAACGGTCAATTGATCGGGTCAATTGACTTTATCGATTTCGACGTGGAGGGGGAGAGGCTGATGGCTATGGTGGACGACGAGGGTGACGCTCCGTTTGCCGAAGTGAGGTTTGTAGCGAAAAGCACTCGTTTCTTTCGGGTCAAGGTTCTTGCGGCGACCAATCAGCGCGCTCTATTCCGCGGCAACCCCCAAGCAAGGCCCTTCCGCCTTGTCCAGTGCCGACCAGCAACCACCACCACCATAATCGCCCTCCCAAAGTAATTGCTCTCGACGACGACGACGTCAATTGCGCTTCATCAATTGGGAGAAGCGAAACCCACACTGTCCGTCGCAATGGCTTCCCTCCGCGCCTACAACGCAGCCCGCCTGCTGCGGACCGCCGCTCCCTTCCGAGCTTCCGTCTCCGCGCCCGTAACCGCTCGCCGATTCGAGAGCCAGCTCACCACCGGCACTACGACACAGCAGCCCTCCGCCGTGCCCCCCTCGACCGAGCAGAACGAGCCCGACTACAGCATCGCCGCCGATAAGGCTACCTCGTAAGGAAGCTCTCGGAGGACTTTTGCATCATCATAGACAAAGCGAAATAAGAGTGCTAATTGGCCCCGTCTTTGCGCAGGACCTTCACCCCGACCCCCAAGAAGCTCCAAAACGGCAGCGAAGACGTTCCCTACGTCCAGGCCGCCGTCATCTCCGGTGCCCCCATGGAGCTCCAGGCTCGCACAGTCCGGTACGAATAGCCATCATAATTCCCAGGATACGTCATCGAGTCAAGAGAGAGAGAGACTAACGGACGAAACCTTTGCATAGCATCTACCAGGAATCCAAGCCCGCAACGCAATCAGGCAACTGGAAGGGCCACCACTGGCGCATGGACTGGGACATCCTCTCCAAGGGCCACCGCTGGGAGAACCCGCTCATGGGCTGGCAGTCGTCGGCCGACATGATGCAGGGCACCAAGCTCAACTTCAAGTCCAAGGAGGACGCCGTCCACTTTGCCGAGAAGCAGGGCTACGAGTACTTTGTCCAGGAGCCCCAGTCAAGGCGAATCAAGCCCAAGGCGTACGCCAACAACTTTTTGTACTCGGCCAAGAAGCTTAAGCACATTCGAACTAAATAGAGAAGAGAGAGAGACTGCCTGCATCACTTGTATATAACCCTTTCAAGACGTTTCCTTTTCGTCCAGGTCAGACACCCCGTTGCTAGCTAGGATGTGGCGAAAACTACGGTTATCGTAAAAGAAAGCAATAAAAAGTTGAAACATCATGGGAGGTCAATGTGATTTTGATATTCGAGCCGACTTCCTCGATGAACATGCGGGAAACTTGGTATGTTGAACTGTAATCGGACTTTCTCTCGATGTGATTGGCCCAGCAGTCTCCACCCAAGTTAGACACCATCAACACCAGCCACTAACAGGTACTATGAAAGTTGAGCAAAAGCCTTTGGGGTGTGTGGTTATGCAGAACCAACGGTGGCATATTACAAGACAGCTCACGGGGGAAAAAAAAAAAAAAGGTAAAGTTCGGAATTGCCATGATGGCTTCTATTCGTTTATCGGTCATCTGTTGACCCGACGTCGTGAACCATTAAAGATATATGTAGCATGGTCTCATGCATTCGTAACCGAATGTTGAACGCCTCCAAGATTTGCCAATCCTGGCCAGTCCCCCAAAGTCAAATCCTGCTTGCTCTAAACGCCATACGCTCTTTCCTAGCTATCATGTTCGTCTTCTTCATGGTATTCCATGATCAGCTCAACCAAACGGCGGTCTTCACCGTCGTCAGTGACATGGGCCACGCCCTCGCGATAGCTCTCCGCTCCCAGGATGCGATTCTATTCCTCGACCTGGACGGTATATGGGCTGTCAAAAGACGGCCAATGAAGCCCGTCTGTTTCTGACCGACTGCCATCACTCGACGTGCCGTCTTGCGGGACATCAATATCCTTGTCGTCGCTGCCGTAGTCCTCACCACCGTCGCCCTACGAGAGCAGCATCGGTTCGTGCACGTCACTCTCGTCCCCGTTCAAGCCGAGTCCGATTCTCTCAGGGAGGGGCTTCTTCTCTGCTCTCGCAGCAGACTCAGCCCAAGCCCTCATCTTGACCAGCTGTCGGATCGCGGCTTCCCTACGCTCCGACTGACGCTGTAAGATGGCCTTGTTGACATCATCCGCAACATCCCGTCTCAGGTCTGGATGCAAGATGGCTGCCAACTGCGGTTCGAGATCGTTGTGTGGGAACACAAGCAGCGCCATCGTCTCTTCCAAGTCTTTTAGGAAGCGCGAGTCGGTCGGTGCACGTGGTCCAAGATGGTTCGTGGCGAATGACAAGGCAGGAGTGATATCCCCGCCGGGTGTGTTCGTGCACGCCCGAATGAGCTCCACAAGTTGGAGACGGAGCAGCGCGAAGTGCAACGTTGGATCGCGGTCCAGGATCTGGGTAACTTGTCAGAATAAGTGTACAAAACAGAAAAATGCTAACAAGTGGTGTATGAGGTGAAAGCTCATTAAAAAGTGGTTGTTCCTCATCAAAGTGTCCCGAAGGTGCTATGAGTGGTGCATGATAACTCGATGTCTAATCACTGCAAGTGGGGGGGGATAATAGCGCGAAGTGCAAATAACTAACCTCTGAGTCAAAGTCATTCAAGGCCTCGATGGCGTACTGAATGCTGCCAGTGTGAATAGACTTTTGGATCTGCTGGCGGACCTTGATCGTCTCGTCAACTTGGTGGGGTTGGAGATTGGCTTCCTTGCTGAATTTTGCGGCAGCATTAGGGTATCCTTCCATCGTCAAGTAATCGAGGATCAGGGCGTTGATGTCGCTGAAAGTTCATGTTAGTACTGAGGTCCTCTTCGCTCAAGTTCGAACAGATAAAAGAGGTGCAAAACAGCAAAAGTGTCAGGGTTATTTTATATCGAGTTCTCCGCATGGTAATTGCTAGGAGAGATTCCCATTTGATAGTTGATCATCATGTGAGCTGGGAGGGGGGAGAGGGGGAAGCGCCAGACGTAGCCTCGGAGCTAGCGCCGGGCTAAGACTTGGGAGAAGACAAGAGAGATGCTTACCTTTTGGGCGACTTGACGTCCTGAACACGCCTCTCGAAGGCATGCTTCATGGGTGTAGCAGTCGACGCAGACGAAGTCTGAAAGACATCTTAGCTAGCTGCCAACAACAGCCACAAGACGTGGCCAGCGTGGAAGCACACTTGCACACAGGCACACAGGGAGCTCAACGGACCATGATTCTCTCCAACGTCTCCCGCACGAGACGCGCAGCAGCTCTATTCCAAACTGCTATGGCTGTTGGGTCGTTGATGTCCGGCAGTCCTGACATGCGATGGGAAATGCGCAAATGCAGGGAAAGCAAGGCAGGATCAGACTCTGGGCTGGGCCGTCGTCACATTTGAGTGGCCAGTCGAGCTCCCGTTTGTTTTGGTTGTGCGAAGGAAGTGTTTGAAAGAAAGATGCTGAGGAAGAAATGGTATCGGATGTGGAAGAAGGAAGAAACGTCAGAACAAAGAGAAAGAGGCTGGAGCGGAGCTTTATTCGGTTCCAGAGTTTGCGGCTGCAGAGGGCCAATCGCAGGATCAGCCGGACCACCTGGCGTGGGGCAGCCATGATTAGATAATCCGAGGCATATGAACCTGAGGAACATCTCCTATAGGGCCCTATGCCTTACCTAAGCCTCTAAGATACCAGGGCCATAGGGTCAGACAGGTAAGGCGCTGTGAGCAGCCACGCAGCCTGGGGGGCCACAACTGGGGTCGGACAGGGCTAAAAAAACACAGGGCGCGCCCCACCGAAAGCACAAGACAGGCAGGTACCAGAGCTAAACCTCACCTGCCCAAGGCTAAGGGAGTGCTGAGCAACGTGCGGCGTGCCTGTGCTGCTGGAGACGAGAGCTGCATCTAGACCCTGTGTGCCCGTCTGTGTGAGCCCAGCCCGCCATTGGATCGTCCACCTCGACACGAGATGTTCCGTTCGAGAACCAGACCAGATGCTTTGAGGAAAGATAGCACGCGAGCACAGCCTCTCCCTTTTGATCAGCCTGTTTCGACTTGTCTCTACCATCTCCAAGATTTACAACCCACCTTCCGTATAGAAACAGTACAAGGCAACTTCCCCTCTCGTGGCTCCCATCTGATTAGCAGCTTTGTGGTAGGCGGTAGGTACCTTCCATTCGGTTACCTTGCCTTCAACATCCAGCCCGGGCAGCTCCACCAGGCTTAGGTTGTCAAAGTCAAGCATCCATCCCCCTCAGCGCTTATCTCTGGGGACTGGACCCTGGAAGTCGCCTTTTAATCAGTGTTTTCATTTTTATATCCTCAAACTTCCTCTTTGCTTCTTCCCCCCCTTCCATTGCGAAGGGAGCAAACACCAAATACATAGTCAACTCCTGCAGTCTTTGTTCCTCAGGTCGTTGGTTACCGTCTCCCCTCGCCCTTACCCAGCTGCAGATCCGAGGACAAAGCTGTAGCTATCCGATAAACAACCACCTGCTTGCCCCGCGCATCGACGTCGGCGACCTCCGCCTCTCATCATATAATGGCAGACAATCACAGCGGCACCGAGTCTCATGTGACGATCCAGCGACGGACTCACTACTCACCACCATGGGCAGATGTCAGCATCATTGGCATTGCTGGCAGTTCCGGCTCCGGGAAGTCGACTCTGTCGCATGCCATAGTGAGGAAGCTGAATCTGCCCTGGGTGGTGATTTTGTCCATGGTATGTGTGCATTTACCCCGCCAACCGGCTTGCGGCGATGGCCCCTCCCCTGACTCGATTTGAATATAGGACTCTTTCTACAACCCCCTGACTCCTGAGCAGTCAAAGAGGGCTTTCGACAACGATTTTGACTTTGATGCGCCAGATGTAAGATGTGCGCTGATGTGCTGCTAGCATGCTTATTGACCAAAACCAGGCCATTGACTTTAATGTACTTGTGGATTGCTTGCGCGATCTGAAGGCTGGGTAAGTCTTGTCATTTTCGCTCATGAGAGATGCTTCACGAGATTCTTCTATACTGGAGACAGACATCTCAGCCTTCGATGTTTGACTTCATGATAATAATTGGCCACTAGAAAACGGGCTGAAATTCCCATTTACTCCTTTTCTAAGCACCAACGGTTGGACAACACCACAACCATCTACTCACCTCACGTCATCATCCTGGAAGGAATCTTTGCCCTCCATGACCCCCGTATTATTGATCTTCTGGATATGAGGGTATTTCACTCCCATTAGATCAGACTGCGATCGATTCCTGACTGTTGCTCAGATATTCTGTGAAGCGGATGCCGATACGTGCCTGTCACGGAGAGGTAAGTCGCAGGTAGCCCAGGGCTCGTGAGAGCTGTTGCATAACTGACCTTGCAACTTCAAGTGTTAAGAGACGTCAAGGAGCGTGGCCGTGATGTCGATGGCATCATGAAGCAGTGGTTCAAGTTTGTGAAACCAAACTTTGAAAAAGTAACAAACTCCGTCGTAAAATCGTTGTGGTCTTTCCTAATATATGTTTGTAGTTCGTTGAACCGCAGCGCAAAGTCGCAGGTAAACTAGCCGAGGCGCTTTAGATGCATTGTAGAGACTGACCATACCTAGACATCATCGTGCCGAGAGGTATCGAGAACCGCGTTGCCATGGGTAAGTAACTCATGATGTCCGTATAACTTCATAACTAATGCCTAGGCCAGCCATGGTTGTTCAGTATATTGAACGCAAGTTGATCGAAAAGTCAACCCACCACCGGGCAGCACTCACGCAGTTGGAGTTGGCGGCTGCCAGCGACCCTCTGTCCGACAGAGTTGTGATTCTGGACCAGTCACCGCAACTGAGAGGCATGAGCACCATCATTCAGGATATCGACACCTCTGCGGAAGACTTCATCTTCTACTTTGACCGCCTTGCTTGTCTTCTGATTGAGCAGTGAGTATTTTGTCTGTCAGGTGAAAGTTGACACAATGAGCTAACAAAACAGGGCACTCAACAATGTGCAATTCAGAGAAAAGACCATTGCCACGCCTCAAGGTTACAAGTACAACGGACTCCAGGCCACGGGCGATGTAAGTGCGGTGCTGGTCCTTAGGGGTGGAGCTGCCTTTGAGACGGCCTTGAAGAGGGTCGTCCCCGACATGCGGACAGGCAGAATTCTGATCCAGTCCAACGTAAGGACGGGAGAGCCCGAGCTGCATTATCTCAAGCTCCCGGATAACATTGACTCCCACGAGTCGGTCTTATTGATCGATACACAGATGGCCAGCGGAGGCGCGGCACTCATGGCTGTGCAAGTTCTCGTTGACCACGGCGTTGCTCAGGACAAGATTGTGCTGGCGTGCTATGCCGCCGGAAGGCTTGGTGTGCACCGGCTTGCAAAGGTGTTCCCTGGTATCACGATTGTCCTGTGCAACATGCTTGCAGACATTGAGGATCGTTGGGTAGAGAAGAAGTACTTCCGATGCTAGCCGTAGGCATACATATATTAACCGGCCGAGCTGCGCCGAGCCTACTTGTGTAGCAAAACCGATGAATGCACATGTGGCAACAGTAAAGTCTACCGCAAAAGCTGCATCATGATGCCATGGAGTAAGGCTGTTTCGTGAAATTCGAGGGTCACCAAGGGCTAGAACCCGTGTTTCTGGGAAAGGCCGCATATTCGCCTGCCAGGCGTCTGCAAGATCCATTGCCTTACATATATGTCTTCGCCTTCTTCGCACTCTACACGGATACCGGATCGCGGCTGAGGTCCTTGTCATTGGCCCAAGATGCGGCTACAAATTGGCCGAACGAGACACCGAGAAGTGGACATGGCGGTGGAGACCACGGCTCCCGCGGCAGGGGCCTCTGGCGCCGCTGACTGAGATCACAGTGTCGCTAGACGAGTATTCAGGCCGAGAAAGGACCCTTTTTAAGGATCTTATCAGCTCGGACGACCGTGAGAGCGCGGCGCCGACAACGGAACTTGGATGTTGGGACGAAAGTCCGAGTTGTCGGTGACGGCGATATGCGGTCGGATTCTATTTTCTGTAAAGAATTTTCTTTTCCGCCTGCTTCGAAGAACGCACACAGAACCTACCTCATCCAATGGAAATGTAAGTTCAGGTGAGGTATTTGGAAATATTTTATGTCTTCCCTATCTGGTGTAATTGCATGGGAGGCAACCTTCGGCTTAACCGAACAATGACGTACTTGCTGGAGCTGTTGGCAGGTACCTTAGCTTCCTCGGATTTGACGGTTCTGGCGCGAACAGTACCTTAGTACAAGCATCATTACGCATACGTCCAGGGAGCTATCCGCCAGCCCCTAGGAACCTTTTCATTTTCGTGACCACTACGACCTTGATTTTCTCTTCTTGGGAAAAAAACCACAACCTCACCTTTCTGGCTACTTTGGTCTTTTGCTGCTTGTTGCAATTGATACCTCGCGACACATCTCTAGAGCTTTTCTGCTTGCTCCCATTCACTCGTTTCGACATGACATCCCCATACTGCTAGATCTACCATACTCTATCACGACGTCAGACGAAGAACTCCAGACTAATCCGCGATAATTAAAATGCCTCCCACCACATCCGCGCTGAGGCGCATACCTCGCGCCGTTTCTCACACATCACCCATCAGCTTATTCAAACCTACGCCGATATGCAAGCAACAAATCGCCGACCTCTCGCAAAGGCGGGCCTTCATTAGCCCTCCTCCACAGCGATCCCGTACAACGCCTACTACACCTCTCGCCAACTCCTTCTTCAATGCACAGGGCCTGCCCAAAGGCACCGCCATCCGATCCGCCTCCGGCGCGCCGCCGCCTCCCACCCCGAAACAAAAGTCAAGACTCATCCGCTTCGCATACGCCAGCGCCGCGTGGCTCGGCGGCGGCATCATCTTTGTCGGCCTCGGTGTGGTTGGCTTTTTCATCTACGACGCCTCCACTTACAAGGAACACCCGGACCAGAATGAAATCGAGGTATCTGAGCTGGCGCTGAGCCCCAAACGAGGCGGGCCAAAGAACCTGCCCATCGCTGAGGTTCTGATTGACGACCTGGACAACGAACACATGAAGAGCGCAAAGGAGAAGCCTAAGCTTGTTATTCTCGGCGGTGGATGGGGCGGAGTGGCTCTCCTCAAGGAGCTCAACCCCGATGAATACCACGTTACCGTTATTTCCCCGACAAACTACTTCCTGTTTACGCCCATGCTGCCTTCTGCCACTGTTGGAACCCTGGAACTGAGATCACTGGTCGAACCTGTCCGCCGAATTCTCGCCCGTGTTCACGGTCACTTCATCCGTGCCAAGGCCGAGGACGTTGAGTTCTCCCACAAGCTGATCGAATGCTCTCAACCCGACGCCTTTGGTAACGAAACCCGATTCTATGTCCCCTACGACAAGCTTGTCATCGCCGTTGGATCTACCACGAACCCCCACGGCGTCAAGGGATTGGAGAACGCCCACTTCCTCAAGGATATCAGCGATGCGCGCAAGGTTCGAAACCAA